AAATATTTTTAACTACGCACCATTTTGTCAAATATTTTTTTTTTTTGTTCTAATATCGACGATAACTATACTTATACTAATTAGAAATCAGTCATATTTTTTGATTTCAGATCAGATCAGAGGGAGAGATCAATCTACCTCCACCAGTCAGGTCCATTTTTTTTTGAGAGGGAAATTTCTAATTAAAAAAAAAAATATTTTTTTGTTTTGATTTTCATTTTTGTGTAGTTGATAAATAATAGAATAAGTGTAAAAAAATTTGAAAGCATTAGTCATTACCTTCACATAGAAATAAAATTTTTTAAAATAGCTTAAATTTTAGGCCGCTAGACCACTGGGTCCCCTTAAACTGATAAAAATTTATAAAAATAAATATAATGCTTACCCCATTTTTGTACGTCGTCTCAAGTAAGACTTTTTCATTATCAATAGTTGTAACATACAAGTTCGCATTTGCAGGAATATCTCTAGGAATAGTATTTGCTGGATTGCCAGGTATTAATATACGTTGTCTATTATCACCATCAGCAATTATTGTCAAAACTGATTCATCACCAGGTATTGATTTAACATGAAATGGGCCCTTTGCACCAGCTCCGAATATATTATTTATTGTTATAGACTGTGGTTGTGAATTATTATCAAATAAGTGGACTAGAAATAGTATGGCTAGAGAATCATCAAAGGTATTGCCTTTAAGGCATCCTAGATAAGGTGCTGCTAAAATACATCTGCAATTCAAAAAAAATTCCGATAAATTAACTTGCAAAAATTTACGAACTAAGTAGTATTGTTAGTTTTTAATCTTACTCAGTCTCCGGCGTTATAAACGGCGCAGAAACTTTTCGTGTGTCTAATTTTTCACCAGTCTTGCTGTCGTATGAAGTAACTTCAACACCACTGCTGTAAATCGGTAGAATGTGATGCAATGTGCCATCTTTTAAGTGCCATTTGACATCTTCTAATCTGTAGAAAAAAAAATTATTCCATTTATTAAATAATTTTAAATGAATTAACAGTAGAAAGTATTCCATAACTAAAATTTGCCATTAACTCAATTTTTTAATATTATTTTATATAAAAATAGGTCTAGCAAAATCTAGTTACGGAGTATTACAATAACAACGAGAATACGACGATTGATCAATTAATGTGTAATAGTATTTATCTGTAAAACAATTTAATTAATAATTAATATTTAATAACCAATACAACAACAAATATTGCATAAAATATTTGAAAGTGCTTTATATATATATATATCTGAAAAATAAAACCTTTCAGTTGAGTATAATCCAAATGTAGAAAATGATATGAATGGAGTATCTAGTCTGTAAAAATAAATTATAGTAAAGCAAAAACGAAACCTACTGTGATTATAAAGTAATTATTGAACTCGTGAAAATTAAAACTATGAAAATAAATTAATAAAAGCGATTAAATTATAAAATCGTGTTGGTAACTGTCCAAAATAACCCACACAAAATTATTTCTTATGAATTTTAATTTTTTATGGGTTATTTAGACTGAGAATATAATTTCTAATAGTCAAAATAATTTTTTCATTTAAAGATAAAAAATTTACCTTTCAGGATTTTGTTCAGCTAAAGGCCACTCATTTAAAATATGTCCAGTGGCTAAATCCCAAACACGTACGATAACGGGCACTCCACCGCTTACGGATATTAATTCTCCATCGGATATTCCACCTAATGCATGGATTTTACCCGCATATCCACGTTCTAATACTCTTCTCCATAATATTTGACCTGTTAAAATTAGACATGAATTATTATAAATAGAAAAATTTTAAATCATTATTAATCCAATAAATTTTCAGGATTACTTTTTTTATCAGAATAAAATTCATTATTGTGAATAAATGTAATGAACAATAAGTAGTTTGATTAAATAAGTAATATTATAGTAGGACATATAATTCAATAATGCCGATAATAACAATAGTTGATGTGTAAAAATATCAATAAACTAGCCGACTTATACCTGATTTTAAATTCAACGCAGCAACAACATTTTCCTCAGTAGCAACAATTAATTTAGCCGCTGCAGAAACAGTGTCAAAACTTGAAAATTTAATTTCTCCAACATAATTTTGTCTCCTGAAATGATAAAAAAATGTCTAATCATTTCGCATACGTGTCAAAGTTAATAAGCTTATTAGAGTAACCTTAACACAAATTAAAAAAATATAGACACGTAAGTAAGTACATAGAAAAATGGATAAGTAATAATTTATTATTAATTAAATACTTACCAATCAAATTTTCCAACTTGATCCTCGTAGAGACACAGCGATAAATTAAATACTCCAAATAATATTATTAAATATTGAAATAATAAAGAATCATTAATAAAACGATTGATATTTATACGAAAATTGGGCATTGACGGAGCCATCACATATCACGATCTAATGTATTTTCTATTTTATTCTGTTTTATCATTGATATTACAAAAGTAGTCTTAGTAGGTATGTAAAGCAATAACTAATAATATAATAAAATAGGTTAGGTTGAAAAAGACACTCCAAAGACTACTGCAATTCAACTTACTGTACTGTGTACTGACTCAGTCATAGCCATAGTAGTCCAGGAGGTACTTACTACAGTACTACAGTGTCACGAATGTCAGTACCGTCAGAGTGAAACATATAGAGATAATAATTCCTGAACAGCTGTTGTGTGTGAGAGAGTAATAGATTGCGTTTAACGCCACTATTTTATTTTATGGTGGAATTTTCAATAACTATTTCTCGATAATTATTAAGGAAAAACTAAAAAATATTGACAATTTATTTTTCAATGTGACTGTTAAAATATTAAGAAAAAACTTTAGTATTTTATTAATTTGTTTAAAAAACAACTTAAAAATTTAATCGATTTAATCCTAAAAATTCTCATGAAAATATTGAGAAAAATAATTGATAATTTATTCTTAATATATTCATACACACAAAACAGATTAAATTCTCAATATTTTACACATGAAATTGTATTTAAATATATGTTACAACTATTACTATTTAAAATTACCGCTACAAAAAATACTTCTCGTTTAAACATAGTAGAGAGCGCAAGTGTATTAAATATTTATACACAATTGTGTATGTGGTCGTGTAATATTTTTCATATACATACACAATAATTACAATACTAATGCCATAACTTAATACTGTGGTGTTTCTATAAACTTCTTGACAGTTGTGCTACTCCAAAAATATTTCTTGACTTGTCATTATTTTTATTTTTCCAATGTTATCATCAAACATATTATATAAACAGTTGTCTTTTATATTAACATATTAATTTATTACTCTAATACCTTCAATTGTTGTGTTCAAGATATTAATACTTTAATTATATCATTAATTAATAATTGTTATTGTTATTATAAATATTTTTTGTTTAAAATAAATTAAAAATATAATTTTACTCAAAAAAAAAACTCATTTATATCATACTTGCATAGAAATATTTTGATGTGTATTATTTTTTATTATTTTTTATGTAATTATTAATAACAATTATTATTTTTATCATTATTATAAAAACAATGAAAGCAATGAAAGTTGTTTGTGCAGCAAGTACATGTAAATATTCATCTAAAAATGAAGATTCAAGTGATATTATTTTTATCAGCTTCCCTAACAATGAAATGTAAGATTCATTATCTTAGTTTAATTAACCAAATATTTATTTTTGATAAAATTTTATTTTTATTCATAATAAATTTAAGTATGTTTAATAAAGATTCATGGTTTCAAAAAAAATTCAAGGAAAGATACTTGATATAAAATTAACTTATGATATATTAAAAGTAATTTATCTTCTGACATTGTTTTGTTTTTTTTTTTTTTTTGTTTCAGTTGTTGAAATTTAAACAATCATAATTTTAAAAAATTATTAACAATGTAATATTTTATTATTATTTATTATACTTTGTTATTTTTTTTATAATTTATTTTTCTTACTGATATTTATTTTATAAAAAAAAAAAAATATCAGTTACTTAAGTTAATAAAGTCATAAATAAAATAATAATTTATTAATACTCTTCAAATTAAAATTTTTTATTTTCTATCAAAGTTATTATTTATTTATTAACTAAAATAATTTTTTTCCAACTAGGTCCACAGTTTGGGCCCATAATTGCGGCAGGCCAGATTTATTAATCAAATCAAGCGTAGAATTGCACAATAATTATTACATATGCTCAAATCACATTGAAGATCGTTACTTCATAAGTAAAACAGATCGCATAATATTAACAGAAGGTGCTGTACCGACATTATTCCACCATCAATTGAAACAATATACACCTACTACATCAGGATCAAATGATGATATTATCAACACAATGCAATTAAACAATTGTATCAATGATGTAAACGATTGTTCATCAACCAATTTTAGAGACACTGTTTATACCAGCGATTTACATCCCACAAGCAGCCATATTAATGAAATTAGTAGTAATGTTTCGTCTATTGATAGCGGTGATAGTAATTTAAACAAATACTGCAATATAAATATAAATATTGGGCAGTATGAGGACGACGGTGATAGTAATGATGACATTGGAGTAAGATACAGTAGTTTATGTAGACTATGTGGCCAATCAATTAGCGATGGTATTGATATACTTTCTGATAAGCAAATAAACTTGAAGACAGTTGATAAAATACATTTACATTTGCCAATATCTATTGATCCTAGTGAATCAATGCCGCTCAAAATGTGCACTGATTGCTATGATAAATTAGAAATTTCTCATTCTTTAGTTATTACGTCCTTGCAAACTGAAATTAGATTAAGAAAATATCTTAATCTTCCTAATAAGGTGAGCTTATCCATGTATTTTTATTATTAGTACAATTGTATCTCTTTACAACTTTTTTTCAGACTTGATAGTTATAATCTTAGCTGAAGTAATAATAATGTTTTTTTTCTTTAGCGTTAGCTATTTTGGTCACAGTTTAAAATTTACATATCGACGTTCTAATTAGCAAATTGTCTAACTCCATTCTAGAGAATCTTCTATTTGTACGAAAAAAATAATTAGTTCAAAATTTATTATCACTTTAAAAAACCATTTAATATCATTATTATCTAATAGAGATACAATATTTAGGTTTGAATCATTCAAATAATTAATAATTCGATTATGGCTACATCAAAACGTTAAAAAATCACCCTCTAAAAAATAAGGAGTTAGACAAATTGCTAATTAGACCGTCGATATATAATTTACATAGAACATTTAGACATCAATTTATTTTCTTACAAACTAGAAACCGTATTTTGATCTTTAATAGTTTCAGGTAATTTATTGCACTACTTACAACCATTACAAGTAATAAATTTTTGATCCGTAATAGTTCTTGTATTTTTTACATCAATTAAATTACCATTTCAAGTATTAGATTGGCTGCGCTGATTATTTAAAATAATGCGCTCACATAAATTATTTGGTAAAAAATTATCAATCATTATACTAATTATAATCAGTAATAAAGAGTTAAATACCATTCGTTAATTTTTTTTTTTTTTTTTTTTTTTAATTATGGCAAATTGATGTTGAATGTTTAAGAAGAAAACTTATGAAATATTGTATAGTATTAATCGGTTAAATTAAAATTATTTATTAATTATTAATCATTTTAATTTTTAGTAATAGATGAAAAGCGTAATTATATATTTATAGGATTATTCAATTGTTAGGTTTCATTAATATTAAGATGTTAAAAGATTATATTATATTTAAAATTATCTCTAATTTCGTTGTAAATAATATTTTAAAAATAATAATTCTATCTACTAAACTCAAGTATTGATTTTCTTCGCAGCCCTCTGCGGTTTCCAACTCTATATATTCACAATTTTGTATTATAAATTGTTAACTTTTAATTTATCCCAAATTATCTTGTCGTTTATGACTAATTATTCTCAAAATTAATAATTTCAAGTTTTATTTAACAACTCATCACAGAATATAAAAAAAATAAAAATGTTTTGTTTATTAATTTCAGTTTAATGATGAAGATAGATATCGTGAATTAATCTCATTACACGAAATAGAAATAAACAATGAAATGTGTATGGATTCAACAATTTCAACAGTTGATGATTTAGCAGCAATAACAAACAAAGATAAATCTAGTGATATATCTGTAGCGGAATTGAATAATCAAGTAACTGAAAATAATTCAACAGCACAAGTTAATCAAACAGTAATACAATGTCCAAATGACACACCAACAAAATTAGATGATCGTTTTAAGTATGTACTCCAATCAGATTTAAATAATTTATTATTAGAACCATTAACATCACTCGAGTCCGCAAACAATCCACCAAATAATCCAGTTGTTGAAAATAATGTTGAAAGTTTAATTATGGAAAATGACCAACAGCAATCACAGGAGCAAATAAGTTTAAGTAGCAGAAATGATAAATGTGATATTGTTGAAAATATATTCGACGGTGAGCAAACATTTGAAGACACTAATGTGTTGTATAGTAATCAAAATTGTTATTCAGCGTTTAAATGTAAAAAGTGTAAGGATTTATTTAACAAAGAAGAAGATTTATTAATACACGAATTATATCATATGAGAAGAACTTTTCCAGATCAAGAACGCAAATGCGGACATTGTTCATCTTCATTTTTCAATCGTAAGGATCTGCAAAATCACATTTCCGAAAAACATAGTGGACTGCAAATGCTATTTAAATGCGGAATTTGTGACAAAGTTTATGAAAAACGGTCAAGCCTTGATGTTCATGAGGCTACGCATCGTCAAGATAAACCGTATCTCTGTGATCTTTGCGGTAAAAGTTTTAAGCATTCTAATAATTTAAGAGGACACAAACGTACACATTTAGATGTTGCTAAGAAAAAAAGGCATAATTGTGAAATATGTGGAAATGCTTTTAGATCAAGGTTAATATACATTTATTTTTATGATTATTATATCATTAGAGTTAATATTAAAAAAAATTAGTTAATTTATTAAAATAGATTGTTTAAGTGGAAAATTCTTGAACCAAGAAAATAATTTTGAAAAGTTTAATCAAGACAAAAAATTCTTGAATTAAGTAAAATTTCTTAGTTTAAGAATTTTTCTACTCAAATCAAGAAGATTAAGTTCTTCAAAATTATTTACTTGATTCAAGTTAATTTTGTTTTCTGGGCATAAATATAATTGTGAAATTAAATTATTTTTCGAGTTTATATTTTATGATTGAGTTTTGTAATTTGATTCATGAAGTGATGTACAAAAATTTTCAATTTGACGTAACCATTTTACGTAACAAAATTCGATATTATCCGCAGTTTTAATTCATTCAAATAAAGGTAAAACTTTTCTAGTATGAGTTTCAAAAGATAAATATGAACAGATATCCTGATTCAAGTACTGAACATAATTATACAGAGTTAAAATGTAATTTTAATTTGAATTTATATTTTCTATAGATTTCATTTGAAAGAGCATATAAATCAACATAATGGCGATAAGCCGTACAAATGTGAACAATGTGGAAAAGCCTTTTCCAAAAGAATCCAATTGCGACAACACCGACTTTCGCATGGTTTAAATAAACACACTTGTCCTATCTGCGGAGTATCATTCAATCGCAGAAGTAATATGAATACACACATGAAAAGGCACGCTAAAAATGATGGGATGTACACTTGTAGCGTAAGTATTTTCCAAATTATAATTTTTTCTAAAGAGCATTATTGCTAATTCGACTAAAAGTAATCGTATTATGTAACTTTTATAGTTAATGGAATTTAACAATTATTAATTAATTGGAATATTCTTCCTCATTATATCAATGAAATTACCTTTATGTTTTTAATTAATTCAATTTAATATATACTTCAATAATAAATTATAACATAATTTTAAATTAAATTTTTTATCATCAATTTTCAATAAAGTAATTACTTCAGTCTAGGTGAAGTTTAATTAATTAATTAATAAAGTTATTTAAGTCAGAGAGTATATAGTTTTTTCAAATATTAATAAAGAATTTTTTGATGTTTAGATTGCTATTTACACTAATTAAATTTTGAGTCCATAGTTGAGTAATGATTTTATTTAATTAAATTATTTATCAATTAACTGACTAAATAATCAAACAATGTCTGTAACTTTTGAGTTAATTAAATTAAATTTTATAATTATAATAATGGAAATAATATATTTTCAGGTATGTGAAAGCAGATTTAAATCAATGAGCGAGTTAAAATTACATCGGAAAGAGCACACCGAAAATGAAATACTTGAAAGTATTAAAAAAAAATGCAATGACAAAGAAATATACCAGTGTAAAATATGTTCAAGAGCATTTCCAAAACGCGCTGCATTGTTGAATCATGAGCGTACGCACAATGGTACACAGCCGCGAGTTGAGTGTGACATATGCGGAAAAAAATTAGCGAACAAAAGTTCATTAAAATACCATACTAAATCAATACATTCAACGGAAAGGCCACACACGTGTCAATTCTGCGATGAAGCGTTCGTTACAAAAGAAGCGCGTCTTATCCACGAAAGAATACACACTGGTGAACGCCCTTACGAATGTAAAATATGTAATATGCAATATAGATGCTCGAGTAATCTTAGTCAGCATATGAAAGTTCATTCTGAAGTACGACCTCATACATGTCAACAGTGTAATAAAAGTTTCACACGTAAAGGCGCATTAACTATTCATGAACGTACTCATACTAGTATCAAACTATTTACCTGCACTATTTGTGATAAAATATTTTCACAAAAGTGTGAACTAATTAAACATATTAAAGTACATCAAGTACATAAAGTACTGAGTTGTGAATATTGTAATCAAATATTTTATTCTAAGACTGATATTTCTAAGCACTTTGACAGTGTTCATAAAATTTACTCTAATAATACAAACGGTTCTTTGATTAATGATAAACGGATTGTTATAACCGAGAATTTAGAGATATACTCGCTGGATATAAATACTTGCAATATCAAAGAATCTACTGGTGAATTAAATTAATTATTTTTACAAGCTTCAATATGCTTACGTACAGAAACAAAACTTATATTTTCATTTATTTTGTTATTTTAATATATAATCTTGTAACTAGATAGTATTACGTTGAAGCTATTTCTTGCGAATTATAAAAGAAAAATCAAAGAAATTAAATGATTATTAATTTTTTCATGTCATTGTAATTCATAAATTGCATAATTATTTTAAAAAATCATTTTTTTTGTACCTACGACAGAATATTATCTAATAACTCTAGACAACAATGAGGAAGTAAATGAACGTGGAAAGTTTATTTAAAATTTATGAAATTATTAATTGAACAGGTGCAATTATTAATACAAGAGTAATGATACCTAAATATCGCTGTGATCTATACTGTATATATTAAATAATCTATACTAGAATTAATAATTATTTTAAATCACTGTTGTCATTAGTCTGTACAAATATTTAGTACATTTACTTATTAACTAATTTTTAAGTCTCAATAATTTTAAGCGACAAGCTAAGATCCAAAATTTATATTAGAATAATTTAAAATCTTTGTCGAACCTTCGCCTTTTGATATACAATCATCTAATCTATAATTTTTTTTTTTATACTTTTACATAGATAACTTTTTGAAAAATATTTTCATTGAACTCTATTATATATTCCTTATAAAGATCTACATTTAAGATTTTTATTATTAGTGAAAAAACTTAAATTGAGTTTTTAGAGAGAGCGTAGTTAAAAAAAAAATAACAATAAATGTCGTGAGATTAATGGATTATGAAAAAAATTAGTGCCTCTACATCATAATATTTCATTAACTTGCTTTAAATATAAATATAAATATTTAGATGGATACTTATCTTTAAAAATGGTACTAAAATTAAAATTACGCATTATTTAGAGATTATTATGAATGTTTTGGATAAAATAAATTCTATTGCGTGCATAAAATGAAAATAGCGGTAGAATATTGGAGAAAAATATTTTGAAAATGTGTTTATAATGGAAACGATTACACGTAGTTTTTATGAATAATTAACGTGATTATGTAAACAAGTATGCGTAGAAGTGAAAAAAAATTTTAAACGTAACTATTGTTAATTACCAAGTTACCAAGTGACCAAAGTTAGCGTTAAAAATTAATCTGTTAACTATCTTCCATTATTTGCTTAATAATATATATTATTTACTCATCATAAGTGCAATTTTTAAGTTTTACAGTAAGCAAAAAATATTTTTTTGCTCAAAAAGATACTTATTTTTACTACTAAACTCATATTTACAAATTAATTTAAAATAATAAAAATCCAAAATAACTTTTATACTGCATCTATCCGAAGTATATAAATAAATTTATGTCTGAACTTGAAAGGTGTAAAAAAAGCGGAGTAAAGGTTACTATGCTAATTTTATACTGAAACATTTTTGCAGTTAATTAAAAAATTAAATATTATAAATACACTATCTGTATGTCAAAAAAATCATGAGGAATTGAAAAAAACTTTTTTATAGACACAAAGCTTTACATAAAATCAAAAAAAAATGCAGATCATTTTACAGAAATTAAAAATCCATCCGACAATGGTCTAAAGAATTAATTAAATAGATTTACATATTTTTGACATATTTATTCTGTTATCACTTCTTGTATAGATTGATCTACATATATTATTTGAACACTTGGAAGTTATTTAATAATTATAATTAAGAACCAAAAGTTATGTATATTTATGACTGTTCTTGGCATTCTAACGTCCCGTATAAATAACTGAATCAATGCTTGCTGTGTTAGTCATTTATTGTGAATCATTATCAAACTTTCATTAAATTTAAAAAACCAACATAACGTAAACTGATTAAAAAAATTTCATATGCTTTATTGAACAAAATATTCCTTGTAATTTTTTGACGTATTGAATTTGATTTGCAATGTAATAAGTTTTGGTTGGATTTATTTGTAAATAAATTAATTCGAGTTTTAACGGCAGCGTATTGAATTTATTTACTACTTAAAATTTTAATTTTACAATTCAAAAAATGATCCATTGAACTACTTAAATAGTGAGTTATAATAAATGTTAAGTTTTTCAAAATTTATTATAAACAGTTTTATTGTTTCGTATAAAAAAAAAAAGAATCAAATAAATAAAAAATTTGTGTTTTAATCAATATATTTTTTTTTACTTTCTTCAACCAAAAAAATTTTTTGAAGAATTGTTTTTTTTTTTTTTAATATTTCGAAAAAATATCTTTTACAAGTTTTAATTTTTTTTTTATAAATGCTGCGCATAAAAAAAAAGTTATATCTTATTACTTCTAATTTCTTCAGTTATAAATGTAATTTTTATTTGATAAAGCCGACTTACATGACACACTTACTAGTAAAAACCGATGAATATTTTGACCGTGAACCACAGTGATGTCAGCGTATTCAAAAATAATATAAACAGTAGAATAAGTCTGTATTAAACTTATTGCATATATTCCTCATGAATATTTAGTTAATTAGCTGATTATCAATCCGGTATAAAAACTAGTGATTCATTAATTTTTAAAACAGTGTACTTAAATAAATCGTGTTAAAAGTATATCGAACTGATAACTCATATTACATATATTGTTTTTTTTATAAGTAATAAGTTAATTTAATAATTTTTTATTTTTTTTTTTGAAAAAATCTCAACTGGACAATCAGGATAAAAAAGTAAAAGTTTTTTAAACAATCATGGAGGATATATATAGGCGAATTAGTAATGAAGACGACTTTGGTGAAGATGATACCGAAATAAGCGAAATACAACAATTTTTTAAGGGACAAACAATACTCTTAACTGGGTGCACTGGTTTTTTGGGAAAATGTTTTGTTGAAAAAATTTTAAGAGGCTGCCCGGAGATAAAAAAATTAATATTAGTAGTGAGGTCACGAAAATTATCAGCCAAAGAACGTATGAAGAAATATTTTCAAAATGAGGTAAGTGGTTTTTATTTATTAAAAGTATTTGTAAAAAAAAAAAAAATAATTAAAAAAAGAAATATTACTTTAGTTGTTCGATAGATTGCGTAGATACCGCCCGAATTTCGAGTCTAGAGTTTTAGTAGTTGAGGGAAACTTGGAGGAAGAAAACTTGGGAATTTCTGAGGAAGACAGAAAAATAATAACAGATAATGTGACAATGATGTATCACAATGCATCAAATGTTAAATTCATAACACGAGTATCAGAAAGCTTGAAGTGTAACGTATTAGGAACAAAGTACATGATTGACTTGGCGAAAGAGTGCAAAAAATTGAGGTGTTTCTGCTACATATCAACGGCGTACTCACACTCTTATAAAAAAAAAATTGAGGAAGTATGTTACCCGTCACCTGCGAGTATCAAGATGGTCCAGGACTTGATTTACGCTGATGAAATCGCTAAACATGGCATCCCACAAGCGACTGTCGACGAAACAATAAAACCATGGGTCAATATTTACACCTTCGGTAAATCCATCGCCGAATCTCTCGTTGAAGATTACGCCAAAGAAGCTTCTTTTCCTTGTATTATTTACAGGCCAAGTCAGAGTGAGTAATTTCATTTTTTTTTTTTAGAATTTAATTAAAGTATGAAAGTATTATAATTATAATTAACAATTATTTTTATTTTTAGTAATCTCGACTTATATGGAACCGTTCCCTGGATGGTGTGGTAATTGGAATGGACCAGCATTGCCCTTTCTTGGCTACGGATTAGGAATAGTTCACTTAAATAACACTAATAGAGCGGTCCAAGATCATGTTCCAGCAGATATGTGCGCAAATTCAATACTTGCTATTACTTGGGACACTGTAACGAATAGGTAACGAATCATATTGTAAATTTTTATAGAAAAGAGAAGTCTAAACCTGGTCAATTTTTTTTTATGATTTCGTCATAATTGAATTTTTTTTAACAAAAAAATTGCATTGGATATTTTTCGACTTGTTTAATGTAATCTTCTATTGAGTACTCTTGGAAGTTCTCGAAGGGCAGTGTAACCCTCTGAAAATTTTTTTTTTTATTTTAAGTATCTAGGAAATTATAAGACTCTAATTCTCTTTATCTTATTTCGTACCAAAATTTTGATCTTAAATAAAAATTTTCTTAAAACAAGTATAAAAATTTTCTAACAGAAAAGAAATTGGAAAAGTTCACGTCTTCAATTACGCATCTTCAACGATAAAACCTGTAACGTTAAGAGAGTTTGAACTGCACGCAGTACCACGAGGCAGAGAAGGTCCATCCTTGAAAACCCTAGCTCCCAATTTCATGATTGAAGTTCCATGTCAATTTGTGTTTTGGGTACTTCACTTCTTCGTACATTTCATACCAGCATTAGTTGCCGATATTGCGTTACTGGCAATGTTACAAAAACCTCAGTAAGATATATTATTTAAACTAATCTTAAATTATTATTAATAATAATTACTAATGTTATTATAATTTCAGAGCTCTTGCAGTATTTTATAAAATAACAATAAACATGCCGACAATACGGTACTGGAGTTCATCAGACTGGCGAATTACTGTTAAGGAAACAGAGAAGGTGTGGGACAGAATGAACCGTCGAGACAAAATATTATTTTATAATGACATACGGACCATTGATTGGTGGATAAGTGGATATTCATACTGGTTCGGATTGAAGAAATTTGTACTGAAAGAGCCGATGGACCACGCGCGTGGCAGATTTAGATATAACTTGATGAAGGCAATTTGGATTGTTGGTATAGGTCTAATTGTTTCATACTTTGCATACCAGTTATTTGTTTATTGGTTGACCCTTATTTCGCCACTTACCCAATTTATAAAAAATGAATATATATGTCGAATGTAATTAAAATAAAATTAGCATAAAAAATAGGGAATTAGGTATTAAAAACCATTAATCATTATTATATATAGAATAATACTCTTTATTGTTTTTTCATTTGTTGTTGTCGTTATCTTTAATATTGTGTTGCTTTATCCAATTAATTATAATTTTCTGTTTTTTGCTGCCGATATTTTGGTAAAACAGTATGTATGTGTGATACAACTTTATTATACTAAAACAACGTCCGGACCACTCGTATTTGCATATCGTTACTTTAAACCGCTTACGACTAGATTTATTTATTAATTATTTTTTATTTTATTAATTTTGTACGACTGATTTCATTAATTTATATTAGAATTAGAATTTCAATTTTTTTCTCAATTATTTATATAATTGTATTTATTATTTTTTTTTGTGAATTTAGAGACCAATGACTGTAATTTTGATAATTTATATTTGTTGGTTTATTTTCGACGCAGTTGTAAAGAACGATGAAAGATCGAGTGATCAGTACGCCCTTTAGAGGTATAGCGTGCATCATATATTTTTTATTTTCATTTGTTTTCTAATTTTCTATTAAAAAGATTACGCCAAAACTCGAAGCTTTTTTTTGGGACAATCACATGACGGTTATTTTTAAAAAATTTAATTTTAATTCTTTTTTTTTTTTTTGAGACAGCATTAAATTCTATTGAAAAATCTTATCTTTCTGTAATAAATAAAAGCGATAAAAAAATTATTACTGTCGACTCAACTCAAGCATTTGAAAGAAATAAATAAAATTTTTCTATAAAATTACAAAAGTAATGAAAGTAATAATAATTATTATTAAAAAAAAAAAAAAAAAAAAAAAAACATAATATATATCCATCCTTCTTCCGCGTCCCTCGGCTTCGAGTATAATGGCGTAAATTTTCGATGCAACTTTAACTCTCTGTCTTTCTGAAAACCTTCATATCTTTTCTGCACTACTATTTACAATGTACACATGTTGTCTTTCCTGCCCTAAGTTTCCCGAGGCGTTGCTCAGACTTGCTTTATTTACAAATTTTATATTTTTTAAATTTAATCAAACAATATTCAACAATTTCTGTAAGCTAAAATTAAAAAAAAATATCCAATTGCAATTATGGAGAAAAATAATAATATAATTCTCAATAATAAATAAATAATTTTGAATTCTTTTGAATATTAATCGTGTAACTAAAATTTTATCAAAAACTACTCGCGCTAAAAATTCACGGCCAGCGCGAAATTTGCGCATTTTTAAAATATAAAATTAAAAAGCGAAAATAAAAATTAAAAAAAAAAAACATTACAAATCCTGGAAGATAAATATGTGGAAATAGATCAGTTGACACGATTTTTATTATTCAAATGAACACAATTTAAAAATTGACTTTTCATTTTCCGAAAATTTAATTATATATATAATATATTTATACAAATAAATAAGTATAGATAATTATATACTTTTTTTTCGTTAATAAAGCAAGCCCTAATAAACGCTTTGTATCACTTACAAAGGTAAATATATATAATAATCTTATATATATACTTCTTCTCATATATAGTATATATAATATATATAATATCTTATGTATATTTTATTTATTTTATACCAATTTATTCTCGCTTCTTAAATCTAACTCTTGTGTAATATTTATACTATTTACAATTTGTATAGTCACCGAATATGTATATATGTATATTCATACATTTTTTAAACATTTATATATATATATATATACATATATTCCATTATAGTGAAGATACAACAACATACACTATGACGTGCATAGCCCACTCTTACATCGCATCCTCGTCCAATCGCGTTTACACACTCGTTAATTAATTAATTTATTAATTAATTAATAACCAATCGATCAATCAATCAATCAATCAATCAGTTGTTTTAAGCCTACCACTCAAATACAAATTTTATAAATTTCATTTTTGTGCCGAATAATTAATTAAATATTTGTCAAAACGATCGCTGTCATCATCATCATCATTATAATTATCATTATCGGTAAATTTCCGTCTCTCAATACGTTTTGTCAACTGTAATTATTAATTTAATTATTTATAATCTAAACATAATTTATTCTATTGCCGCTGTTTTATTTGTTTAAATAAAATAAAATCGTTATTTCCTGATTTTGTTTTATGAACCGAGCATTCGCTTGTATATAAACAAATAAATTTTTAATTTTATAAATAAAAAATAAAATAATAAATAGAATTAAGACAAGTAAAGATAATTTAGACATCTAATTGCGCTTGCCCAATTCATTGTTTTAAAATAAAATGACAATTATAATCTTATATTTTAAAATCAAGAGAAAACAACCCATTTATAATAATATTATTACACATACCTTTATTAATATTGGATCATTTAACGTCAAATACATTAGACAATTATTACTTTTATTTAAACTTAATATTGCTTCAATAATTATTCATTAATTAACAAATAAATTTCATATTGATTTATTTTACTACAATATCATCATTATCGTCATATTATGAAAAAATAAATTATATAAAAATCAATTTAACTATAATATTTCAATGATCCATTAATTTTGTGCCATTTATCATTATTATTATTATTATTATTATTATCATTATTATTAATTTATATATCAACGGAGTACTTTATCGTAGATCATAAACATTTTACTGAGTATTATTGAGGTTGTCTTCTTTTTATTATTTTTAAGTAAGTAATCTGTTGTTTCATTTTTAAATCTGTCACATAATAAAATTATTTTCTTAATTTAAGTAATAGCTGCACTTTTTTATGGAAATAATGTACGAGAACACACAATAATTGTTACAATAATATTAATATCAATAATAACAATAATAATATGAAAATTTAATCAATCGTTGCAATGGAAATATGGACACAGTATAAATCAACGTCTCAGTGTCCACCAATTCGTACTTTAAAATTCTTAGAGGCCACTCATACACTCACACAAGGAAGCCGCTCATATATTATTATTTATTATTAATATTATCAATATTATTATTATTATTATTATTATTTTAAAACATGTTAATAATGTAGATAAGCTACTATGAGAGATCATTGGCGCACTGGCGGGCATGACTTCGTCATGAGTAGTGGTAAGCCTTAAAAATTCTACCTAATTATTCAATTAATAATCCAGGTACTTTTGACAGTATAAACGCGATTGGTGACATCAATATCATCGACAATGACAAAAAATGCTCTTGTTAACATTTTATAATTTTCTTGTGCAATTATGATGACAAATATAATTATTATTTTATATAATAATGAGATGAAACGAACGAGAATGCAAAAGCACCAGGATCTGGTGACCTAGCACCAAATATATATATTTACACATAATCATATATATATTGATATATATATATTTTAGATGTTGATGTTAATTTTTTTATGCATATACAATATATTTGTACAGTTAATGTGTGACAATGTTGGGCACGATCCGTGGGCCTAAGCAACGACACTAGTGTCGCTGGAGAACGTCACTCCGAGGCACGCATTTAACGGAATAATAAAGGGACGTCCTTTTTTTTTTTTTTTTTTTTTTTAATATTTATAAATTTTCAACGTTGGTCGGCTAGGCAGGCGATAAATTTATTATTAGAATAATTTTTAAAAATCATTTCCATTATTATCAATACATTACATTAAATATACAATGTATAATATTATAATCTGGTAGAAAGCTGTGGAAAATAATTTACTGTCAAAGTTATTTGCTGAAACATCGTTACAAACAATAACAAAATCTTTGACAATCCTTTTAATAATAATAATAATAATCATCATCACCATTATCATAATCAATAACTATTATCATTAATAATTACATTAAGTTGAACAATTATCGCCGGCCCGGGTACCTTACCGTTGAAAATTCAAAAATATAATTATAATAATGATGCAGATGGCGCGAAATGTCGTATCATCGTATATGAATTAATTGTTTCTGTTGTTATATATTTTTTTCTAATTATTAGCATTATCCACAGTTGATATTGAGCGTCCATCCGTGATTATTAAGTCGCTGATCCGATGATAAGTTGACGTTGCATTTGCGACTGCGAATCTCTTTCTTCTTCACCATTATCTTCTGATTGCAATTGTCCATTAAGACCGCCGACGCAAATTTAAATCCGCAACAATCAACGAGGAAGTGATGATAGTCGAGTGGAGTGTAATTGACACGAGCCATATTTATTTATTTATACAGTTTAAAATAAACAAACGACGAGCACATTATTGGTAAATGCACCGACCAGCGTCTACGTAACAACACCGGGGTCATCCCGTTGTAATACGTCGCTGCGTCGTATCGTCATTTAGAAGGCCACCAAAGGGGCACCTATTTGCCCTGTGGCGAGAGAGGGTAAAAGTCGATGAGATGGCTCAACGACGCGAGTATTGGGGGCTATGAACCGACACACATCAACGACTCGTGCGTACTACTGCTATTACAACTGTTGTTACTCGTTATAATATGATTATTATTATTGTTATTAATAGTACTACTGATGTTATTCGTCGTGTTTAGATGGTGATCCTGGACATTTGTACTCCTGAGGATGTCGTCCGCCGAAAGGGGCGTAAGTTTCCAGCCTGGCATAAAATCCAGGTCTATTTCAGGTCCAATGTCGACGTCCAGGAGCTCGTTGTTGTTGAGGGGGTCCAGGGGCGACTGGCTGGACAGGGACAAGACGCTGCCCCAGTTGATGGACCGACTGTCGTCGCTGTCGCCGATCCCGGAGTCAACGTCAGTTTCATTGGAGGCGGTCGGGGGTATCGGGAAGGGCGTCAGTCTGCCCTGCTCAGGGTGCTGGAGTTGGGCCATCGGGGCCGGGATCACCGGCTCCATCGGGGGTGGGCTCCGGTCTCGCTCCATCTCTCTCTCCAGGTGCCTCAGGGTGTTGCAGATCAAGACCGACCGGTGCAGACTCGGGTCCGGGAATTGACGATACCTCGCTAATTTACACATCGAGATGTTGAGGACGGCTAGCCTGCGCTGGCGGTAGCAAGCTCTTCCCCGCCGGCACCAGCTGGTTCTCGAACCCTCGCAGCATCTCTCGTTGGCGCGGTAGCTCGAGCCCAGCTCCAGGTAACTCTTTCCGTTCTCTTCCCTTCGTATCGTCGGAGGCTCGTAGTGATGCGGCGCGCCCCACTGGGGTTGGGGCCTTGATAGTTGGTTGTACCCACCGTTCCCTCCCGGGGGACTGCTGCGCTGGTGATAGTAGTGCTGGGGCGGATGGTGCAGCTGGGGCCCTGCTGGCGGCAGGTTCCCCGTTGGCTGACAAGGGTTCCCTTGGAGGCAAGGCGAGCTCACTTCCATTTCGTAGTAAGACGAGGATTGATTCAGTGGCGGCGTGTAGCTGTCCTCCATCGCCCACCAGCTACCCTCCACTCTTCCTAACTTCGACGGGCTCTCGCCCATGTCCATGTCGAACTCCATGCAGCCCACACCTCCCTCCAGTTTACGTTTTCCTGCCGTGGCCTGCAGACCCATCATTGCACAACTCTGTAATCAGAAAGATATGTGGATAATTAGTTACAGTTATCATTGGGAGTTTTTATTTGAAGAGTTAATCATAATTGGGGTAATATTTATCGATTTATGTTAGGTAAACTTTGATTCTTAGAATTGATTGATTGGTTTCAAAGTTTTAGATTGATAATTTATTGTTTGTACTGTAAATTAACTTGATACAAGAGAAGAAATCTTGAACCAAAAATATTATTGTTGAAAATTTCCAACAGAGGGCGTTTGATCGCTGAACGAAGAAAGTTCTAAAATAAAAATGATCTTTTTGTCTTTTCTTGTCAGGAGCTTGTATGATAAATTATTTTTTTGATTTAATTAGATCACCTATGAAAATTATCCTGATCACAAAATTTTTTCACGGATCTAAAGTACAAGTAATATTACTACACTGTAATAATGTAATGGTGAGTATAAGGGTGTGTTTTTGTCCAATTCAAGTCAATTTGATTTATAAACTAGAGTAAAAAGACAGAAGGCGGCTCGAAAACGGTGACTCAGACCTTTGGCTCGTTTGCGAGAACGTACCAGGGTAATGACGTCAGGCTCCCCTTCCTGGCTTTGAATCAAGTCATCTTCGGAATAGTTACCACTATGCTATACCGTTTTATATGTGTAAGTATATATATATATATATATATATATATATATA